TTTGTTGCTTTTCGTGGTGCTTGTGTTCTGTGCTCCTCTTGTTGCACGCAGCTGTGCACCATCTTTCCAAACCATGGACGAGAGTCTCACGCAGTTTGGCTTAGGACGGATAGCCCTCAAGGCACCACATAGCAGGCCATAGTAAGCTTTATATGGCCCACTTGCTTTCGAACTGCAACAAATCTTACCTGCCCCGCCCCCCCCTGCCCGCCCCCAAACCAACTCCCACGAACTTGGTACTTCTAGATGTACTTAACAGCAGCACACTGTGCCTGGCCACCAAACAAGGACCTGGTCAGAGGCCTTCATTCACTGTCGAATGTTTGTCAACGATTGCTACCTTCCTGCAACAGAGACATCAGGAGAGACATCTTTGTCCTCCTGAAGATCTGACATTTGAACTACCAAAGGACCCATCCTCTTCAGGAGCCCACAGGAGAACTTTACCCTAAGGTCAATTTCCAACTAAGTAGATGCAGATTTCACAAATGGCAATGATATAACAGGGACAAAGAGAAGGCACAATACATTTCCTGCAACGAATGCTTCCGCTCTTCCCCCAATCTTCACTTGTCTGCTGTCAATATGCCAACAGTCCTGGTGGAAAACTGCTGCTCATTTGTCACCACTCGTCAGCTCATCATCTTTGGGGATACAAACAGAAATCCAATCCACAACGCCCCAAAGGCCATGAAGAACACAGACAAATGAGCAAAGTAATTGAGCCAATGCAATGGCTTCACAAGGGTGTTGCATCCTTCCTCTGTGCGTAGTGCTTCAATGAACGCAAATCTTGATTGGCGCTCAAAAAGCCACACTATATATGAAATAACTCCAAAGCCAATGTACACTAGTGCAAACATAGCCATGTGCAGGCATGGGAATTCCACTGCCCATGAAATGTCCATCCTTGACACATTCCCAACAAGGATACGAGCCTGCTGCAATGCTAGAGCATCCAAAACCTTGAATACCCAATCTGTCCCGGGTAGGGTCTCTCCCCCCGTTTGACGACATATCTCAGGGCCTACGGTTGACAACAAGAAAACAGACACACCCAGCTGCAGTGGCAAATGCACCCTGAAGCTGAGTGGGAGGAAAAGGCCATGACATATCATTGTATTCATGCCTAATACCATGGAGAAGGAAAGACTGACAAGCAATGGATGGGTTGGGGCCTGGTCATTGCCGAATGTCATGAAAGCAGACACAAACACTGCCGAGCCTGTGGAGATCTCCAAGCAATGCAGCATCCTGCCACAAAAGGTCTACATGTCATGAATGAGGTTGGGCACGAGCACCATTCTCCAAAGCAATCGCGTTCACCTATTCCAATCGACTAACACCATTTTGTTGCTCCACATTTTGCTGAATCTGCAAATATGAAGTGTAGTTTTGCTTTTCATCCAAAGCAGGAGGACGACAGGCTTGGGACAAGCAAATCAAAATACCATGGGCACATTTTGCTTGTGCAACACCTTGAAACCGTTTCCACAATGTAGAATTGATATATGCGTATCAGAATGCATCAATAGAACAGAATGGAATGTGTCAATAGGGAAGGGAGGCAACAAGAGACAACAGGAACAGCAGAGACTGGTGTGGCCCTATTCGGTGCCTCGTTCGGAAAAGAACACTGCTGCTGTATCTGATTGACGGGCACCTGGCTCTTCACCATGTTTAGGGACTTTGTCTCTCCCTTTTTCAGCACCCCTCCTCCACCCTCGATTGCTTAGATCCACTTGCCCCTCTTCGAGCGTAATGTGCTTTTACCAAAGAGCCAAAGAAGCAGTTCTGAGTCACAGCTTCTGCCAGGATAATAGCAGGGATGGCCCCAAACACTCCAAACAGCAAGTCCAACAAACATTCTGCAAACATCTAGGCAAAGCATCCAGCGCTATGGCCTTCCCACCGCCATCTTCATCCGCTTTCCATGAATGTAGACGACGAACTTGGAGGCAACATATTTACCTGGATGCAACAACCAAGTTGGTCCTCCATTGGCACCAGCGTCGGGGGGCAACGCTCCATCGTGTCAACAGCGCAACTTCTGTCCAGACCAGGTACAACATGGCAGGCCAGCAGTTGAGAATCCCCAGCCAGCCGCCGAATCTGGCTACTGCCGCAACTCGGACGATTATGCAAAAGCACCAGTACGACGCATCTATCGGGTATGGCTGCCTGCCGGCCATTTGCTGCATGTACTGTTCCTCCAGCGTGGCGCTCGTAAAAGTGAGCCAGAACGGATCCATAGGCTCACGTACGGGGCCCTCGCTCGCCCAGCGCCGCACCACAGGCTGTAGACCTCAGGAGCCTTGCTGCTGCTGCACTTCGCTGCAGCGCCCCTCGCGCCTCAATGACACAATGATCGCTGCCGCAAATGCATTTGGGCGTAGCCAGTTTCTGCGAATGGTGTAGCGAGTGGGTGCCCGGCACCTGCACGGTCACGGCAGCGTCCGGTCAGTGAATGATAGGGAACAGTAATTCGGAGAGGAGAACAAATAGTCACACTTGGGGTGCCCGAAGGCTAACATTGCCCTAGCACAAACCCGCGTGTGCCCACACACTTGGAAACTGCTAGGACGGGAAATGAGCAAGGCAGTTTCCGACGTATTTAGTTGTACCCAGACTGATGCGTTAAGCGATTAAGACACGAATTATAGGGTCAGTACCGCTTGAAGTCATGCCAGCATTGCCATGACAATGGACAACGTGACCCATCAACAGGAAGGTGATCAGACCAACAGTTAACATCTGTCTACATAAGCGCTTAGAACGCCGCCTCCAAGGGGAAAAAGCGCAATGGCAATCAGGGGTTGGGTACGGAAGGCTCTTCAGCGCTTTCCAAAGAACTAAATACCGATCGTGCCCGTGTGAGCTCGCAGACGACAGTTCGGTATGATCTGGACCAAAGGTGTTCATCTCAGAAGATCATGTCAGATAGAGCGTCAATTACCGACCAGGAGGCCCGAACACCATTCCGGGTGGCTGGTGAAAGATAAGATCTAGTGAACTAAGGGACTTCTTTAGGTTCTGGCCGCACGTCGTTTGGTTGAAGCACAAATGCGGCCACCGTGGTTGAAATTTCGCCGAACGGTGCGTTCCTTCTCGAAAGTCCACCCCACATAAAAGTTATAACGGAATTTGCTTCCCAACCCAGTGGAATTCCACTCCCTTCCAGGCTTGTTATTTACGCCGTAAACCCAGATCATATTACGTTTTTACGCGTAAAAATACGTAAATACAATGTAAAAACACCATCGTGTACATGAGGACAGTTCATACAGCCTTCGAAGGCTTCGTCGCAAAGCTTCGGAACTGCGGGGAATGGAATCCAGACGCACTGTAGTGGGCAGAAAATGATGTTTTTTCCACTCTATCGTGGCCCTTGCCGGGTGGGAAGCGGACGCTTTGTTGTGGGCGCTCAAGGGGGCGGAGTACTGATCACAGTACGCAACTTCATCGTGTAAACTGGGTGTCACAACGAGCAGTAAAAACGCAAAAACAGCTTTAAAAGTAGCTTCTTTTGCAAATTTGCGTTTTTGCGCGTAAAACGTAAAGGCAAACGTAAATAACAAGACTGCTCTCTTCGAAGGGCTGACTTGTACCAGGGGAAGTAATCGCCACATTTGCAGTGCGCAGGTGGACGAGTGCGCTCCCTTTCTGTGATTGAAGATGCGAATCCTTGTGCCAACAAAGTTGTCCATCAGACTGACTTAAGTGCAATCGTTACATCCAGGGACATCATTACCGCCGAAAATTGCCTGGACTGATGAACGGGCAGCGCGAAAAAATCGCGCATGGGTGACCTTCGACAATCTTTTGTTCGAGTTCCCCATCTAAGGGCGGCTAACGTTCCTCTCCATTCTGATCGTGTGCTGTCCTGCATATCTGTTTGTATGCTTTCGGGATATGATGTTCTGAAAAAAAAACATCTGAGCACCACTCTTTTGCTCTATACACTTGTGTCAAACTTCCTTAGCCACACCGGTTCGAGACCCCGCTCATCGCAATCGAATGCGCCCAGCGATGGGCCACATCGCAGCACAAGTCAAACAGTTTTGATTCGACCTCAGTGGCAACCTTTGTGTATGCGGCGCTCAAACGCACTCGCCGTGCTTGGTCGTACAAGTAGCCAAGACTCAGCCTGTCTTACAAACAAATCAAGAGAAGCCACGAACAATACTCGGGCTCTCTTTGAATACCAGAGTATGCCTCATTTTTGACCCACAAGAACTTACACTCAAAACGGTGGAATGAACTAGCACTTCACACACGCATAATGCACTACCCCACCCCACGGCAACGACCCACAGCTCCAATTCACAGCACCAAATCACGATCACCAAAATTAGAAAAATTGTTGTGAAGCGTCCTCCCGCCATCTCAACCAAGTTGACGAGCGCATCAGTCAGCCCGCACATGAGCAGCTGTTTGCACAACATGGCAGCTGCGGCTGCCTTGGTGTGTTATAGTTTCATCTCTTTTAAACTGGCTCCTTATTCTGTATTCACTTTTCTCATTGAGCTTCACTGCTCTCTCCTTCTCGCTGCCAATCTCCCTCGTCGACGTGATCAAACGTTTTCGATTCCGCAGCTCTCCTGTCGGGACCTCTCCCGTATCCTTTTCCCGGTCGCCTGGCCGCTGCTGATCAAGCCGCAGGCAGGAGTGCCTCTCTGCGTTCGGATTGACCACCGATGCACGCCCCCCGAGTCCTCTCCAACACCACGAGCCCAACCTCATCGACTTGATATTACTGCACCTTGCAGCAGCCGCAGGATTTGCCGCGAGACGGGAGCAACGAGAAACTCGCCGGTGAGAAGCTCCCAGCACACCGTCCGACATCCCTGCCCCTCGTCACACCTCCTGCGCAAAACCCCCTTGATTGATTCCTGTCCGCCCGACTTACCTCATCCAACCAAGCAAAGAAACAGCACGCATTAGAGCGCAGGAGAGCCATCCTCACAGAAGTCGAGCAGGGCGCCGGGCCTGGCGGCCTCATGGACCCCTTCTTCCTCACGTTCTCCAGCCTCGAGCTGGAGCAGTGGTACCTGAAGTATACGGCTGAATCGAGGGACCTCCACATCGACGCGTGCTACTGGTGGTTGGCGGTGGTGATACGCGCTCTGGCGCTGGTCAAGTTCGCCGGCAAGCGCGAGCACAGCCACCTGGCGATGTGCTACGCGCACCTGGCATGGCTGCTGGCTGAGGCGCCGCTTCGGCGGGCGCTGGGGCGCCGCGGCCTGTGGCGGCGGCGGGAGATCATCGTCGTCATCTCCAGGTGTGACGGAAGCGATTTTGAGGGTGGTACGCAGCGGGAAGGGGACCCCGGGACGCAAAACTGGGGTTTGATGAGTGGGGATGGATTGCACGGGCGGCAAAGATTGGAGGGGGGTGTTTCACCACAGTTTGGGTCGGATCTTTGGGCCTGAGAGCATGCCGTGGGTGTGTCTAAGCCCTTCACGATCGAAAGGATTTCGCGTCGCGGTGAAGCGTTTCCTTTCTCGGCGTTGCGGCCGATTGTTGTATCCTGCGTTGTTCGGCGGGCATCGCCAGTGGAAGGGCTGTGGGCGGAGGAGGAGGGCGTGCGTGGCCTTGAGGAACGGTGTCTAGGCACGCATCCGGTGCACCGCATCGGAGGCCGGCTTCCGGGGCGAGGGGGTTCAGCCTGCCCTGGACGCTTGCGGGCGCGGCGGGCCCACGGGTGGGGAGCTGCATCCGCCATGCGCATCGACCCTTTCGAGGGATATCCTGTTGTTCGGCGATTTAGCCGCATCACCGGTGTCTTCAGTGCTATCGGTATCAGGGCAAAACAGCCGCGTGTTCTAGACAGGCGATAGGACCTTGTGGCGCTCGCGACCACCCGCATCCGCCAGCGCCATCAAATCTCTTTCCTCGCGCCTGTACTGCCGCATCCCTGGGATGCTTTCCAATCACACACCAGCAAGCCCGCATATGGTGTTGGCGTCGCTTTCTTCTGCGGCTATCTCCTGCGCCTTTCTCCAGAGGAACGTCGCTTTTATGCTGACCTCACTCGGAGGCAAAGGTCCCAAAGTAGCGTAGTTGTGCCGAAGCGTTCTGTGTACTGCCTGATGTCCACACATACCACACATGGTCCACTGCCCTCGCCCTGAGGCCCAGGTCCACTGCCAACATCAAGTTTGATCGACTGGGGGAATCGCAGGCCTCGTGAATTGCTTGAACTCGACTTAGGGGACACGATATTCTGTCTTAGCTGCCTGTCAGATTATCCAGATGGCCCCCTCCATCTTGCCTTGGATTTAGCCTTGCGTCCAATGTCCTTTGAACCTTGGGAACCCAATTCCGTTGCACGGAGCTTCGACGTCGAAACTGCATAATATGCATCTGCCAAAGAATGACAGCTCAAAGCCCTTCACTGGCCTGTTCCTTTTTGTTGGGGGGTGAACAGTGCCTGTTATGTAATCTGCTTTGCAGAGGAACAACACACATGGTTGTTTTCTGTGTCTGGTCTCATACATATGTTTTTGATGGCCTCACACGTGACTTTCAGCACTGTGCTGTGCCAGGCTTATGCACATCTGCGAATTTAGCACATCAATCAACGAGCCTGCAGCCGAAATGTTCCAGTTTGAGAGTCCAAACGTTTCTTGTAAATCCATCTTCTTCAGTGTTTTGTGGCATGGTTTGCTGCCCATGGTGTTCAGTGGCGTCTTTCAGCCCCTACGGTTCTGGCTGCACCTGCCCTTGCACCTCCTTTCGTCAGCCTTCTTTCTTGCAACGCTCAATGTCGACCTCTGCATGGCCACTGGTGGTGCTAGCATTCCTGGCATGGACCCGGTACACGACTGGTTGGATGGCTTGGCGAAGCAAATCCTGGGCATCCTCCTTGCCACAAGGCTTGATGACGATCCAGCATGGAAAGTGGAGTACCCCTGCCTGCAGATGGGCATGTTCCTTCAAGGGTACCTTGGGTTTGGCATAGTCTCGTACGTCATTTGGGTGTCTGAGCACAACTCCAGGGTGAAATTCGTCGAGAATCTTCCAAGAGAGAACAAGCCGAGTGAGCCTGTGATACCATTGCAGCACTCCATTGTTGTGTTTCATGCGGTGGCACTCATCGTCGCCTATGGGGTCTTTTGGAGAGTTTTTTTGAGCGTTGGTCCTGGCATAATATATTGGAGAACCCATGGAGCAAGGCGTCTTGGGACCACATCAGAAATGTCCTCCTTGCTGGGTAGCAACAGCGTATTGGAAGGAGATGCTCTGGGTGCTGGCAGCGCCTGGTTCGCGAAGGGTTGAGCGCTTCTCAAGAGGCAATTTTGGACTTTTGCCAGAAGTATGACTGAAATGAATAACGTAGATGGAGATGGCGAACATGACATAATTCTGCCATCTCTCAGGTTCGAACCTGCCGGAATTGAACAGGGGGCTGCCCTGGACTCACGAATTGACCTTGTACATTAACTTGATTTGCTTTAGCACTACGTGACTAGCACCAACCAAAGAGCGAGTTGGTGCAAGTGTGCAAGACTGCTGTTTGGGACGTCGCCAGCTCCTCGCCCTTCAAAGGGAGGGGGTTGTGGTGGGATGTCAGCAGGCACTCGGCAGAGGGAGAGCTGGCAACGCTCACCCCCAAGAACACCGTGGCAAAGTAGGCAAAGGCAATGGTGCATGGGATGCGTTGGCACAGACAGCTCAACCAGCGAGAATGAGGTCCGAATGGGAAATCAGAGCTCACCGGTTAGTGAGCAATGCTGACAGGCACCATGACACCGACATGCAACATAATGCACTGGCTCGACGTTTTCCCAACAGAATGTATGTTTTGCTTTGCAGGCTGCCTGACTGTTATCACTAGCAAAAAAAGCACCAAACAGCACGTTCTACGAACACATATGTATGCATTTCATCAGCGTTGTGCACGCTAAAAACACGCAAATGACCCAGACCCGTAAATTTTGTACACGTTTTGAACACGCGTTGTTTGGCCCCTTTTTCCTAGTATACGGGATGTCCAATGCTCAGCGTCGATGTTCTTGTTTCACGCCAAGGTTTGCAGCGCCGCTGAGGTAAACGATTCGGATGATCGACTGCAAGCAAGGTGTTCAGACGCTTTTCAGCAATGCTGCCCTGTCTGAATGACCATGGGGGGAAATGGGCATCAGTGCTCTTTGCCACCAGGGTGCAAAAGGGAGCCCAAGCAGATAACCTGTGTCTTGAACCATGTCGTCGGGTGGCACATGCCTCGTTATCACATGACACAAAACAATGTTCACACAAAGGTTTCGGCGACGGTAGATGAGCTGCGACGCAAGGGGCTGGCAGGCATCAAGAGTGATGCAATTCCGGTTTAGGAGGCTACCGCCCGCGCTATCTTCAGATACTCTGGAACCAAGTCAGGATGGCTCCTGCAGACACCTGGACACATTTCGTTGCTGGCGCCATGGGCAGCAGACCAAACGATCAATCACCTGATTCGAGGTACAAACTTTCTCAAGATGATCAAAGGTCGGAGATTGAGAGAAACCTCACCCCTCCCCGCCCAATTATTCAGGCAGAGGTACTGCATTGGTAAATTCGTGGATGATGTCGCCATCAGCTGTGTTGGTAATACCCAGTGCAGTAACAATACTGAATCAGTGACAATTTCGACAGTATTCCACAGTGCGCCCGGTGAAAAAGAGACCTGGGGTGGGACTGATTACTGTACTTCCAGCGGCATGGTTTTCTGTCCTGCCAAATCATCGGGCCCGGCGAATGGCCAGAATGCTTTGCTGGAAATTCCCTTTTGAAAAATAACGCGGTGCCTTTGCCAGGGGCATGGCGGAGGCCACTCCAATGCTCACATTACCCTCTTATCCTACAGAGTGCACGAGGGGAGGGCACAAACGAACGTAATTTTCATGTCCAGTTTCCGTTCAGACTGAAGCGCCACGAAATGTGAATGACATTTTTGCTTTTCCGTCTTGGCAACTCGAAGCCAGGGCACACGTTTTCGTTGCCGTTTCAAAATCTAGACGTAAGACACACTTTCACGTTCACATTCCAGAACCCTAATTTATTGCACTCGTTTGCGTTTTCTTTTCAGCGGCGCACGAATTTTTTTTGGCTTCAAGCGACCTGCAGTGTTGTTGGTCGAGTGTGGGTGAGCAAGAAGACCGCAAGCAGGAACAATTCTGCGCTTCGTCGACGATGCCCACCCTCGGTCTCTTTTCATTGAAGTATTGGAAGCGCAGACATTCCCAACATTTGAGTTGACGTTCCATGACTGAAACGGTTGGCTCACTTCCACGTTTCTGTGCTTGAAGCAGGAACGCGCTGCGTACGTTCCCGCTCCCGTTTCAAGATGCCAAAAGTACGGCAGACGTTCTCGTTTCCGTTTTGGGTACCCAAACATAAAGCGCACGTCTGTGTTTCCATTCGAGCGGCGTGCGGCCACCCCTGGTGCGCACCAAAGCTCCCTGCGCAAGGAATTCGATGGTCATGATAGTTGCAGGACATCATGCATTCATTAAGGAGGCTTTGTACTTTAGTCTTGCGTCGCATCCATGGATCCATTTACATCTGGCCAGATGTAACCATGGCTGTCATCCAAGGACCAACATTCATGAACGTGGGCTCACCCAGAGAAGCATTTTGACTAATTTTTCAAATTGCCACTGGACACTATATTCTCTTGCAAGGTGGCACTGCTGCGACCTCTTCCAGTGCGAGATTTGGTATTGTGATGTGGCACGCAGTCTGGCAAGCTGCAAGCATACTGGTATCTTGCTGGTATCTGCACTTGCTGTTCCCAGCGCTGCCGGGTATTCTGATTGATACCTGCGCAATTCCAGCCCACGTCAGGTAATACTGCTGATGCGCCATCGTGTGTCCTTGTTTAATGCCTGAATTCGCTTCACCATCAGTTGCAAAACGGGTTGGCATGCGAGACTGTTTGAGCCCTGGCCAAGGAAATATGGTATTATACATATACACAAAACAACGCATGCCAACACATCCTATACATTGCGGGATGCACGTTTCGACCCAACTTCTAACGGCACAAGTGTGCACAAGTCACCTACGGGCCCGCAGTTCCCAATCTCATTCTAAAGAGGAGCACACATTCCTTGAAACGTTGTAATTATGCCCACAAGACGCCATGCCGAGCTCCTGCCAGTGGCCTGCTGTCGAGGCTTCAGTTTGAAACAAACCGCCTCTTAACACAAATATATATACCGTGCATGGACATAAGACATGCGATATGCAAGAATTCTGGCCATGGTGGTTTGTTGCTGATCACCGCCAGACAGTGGAATGAAGCTCCAGCATGCGCCCGACCCCTTGACACAGAAGACAGCGCCTCGCGCACATGGAAATCAGCCAAACATAACCGCAACCTTCATTCCATGAGCCCCTCTTCCCTTGCAGACACCGCACGACAATAAATTTGTCTGTCGCAATTCCGTCTGACCCCAGCGTCAGTCAAGCTGTGTGGACTTCTCGAACAGGAACAGATAACATCACCTGCGCAACAAAGCACGTGGTGTCTTCTTGGGTGAGTAGTCTTGGGCATGAATTTGCATGAGTGTTTGACGCACGGAGCAATGGCAGACGTCAGATGCACGCCAATCGGTGTCCTCCACCCGAACGTGATGTTTGCAGAGGTGCAAACTGTGTATGGATAGATGCAGTGGAGCCAAGCTCTTTCCCTGAGATAATCAAAGTTGCACACTTCAGTACGAGGGCCCACCACCTCCACCCATTCGCTCCATGATGCGACACCAGGTCAGCAACACGTTGGCGATCATCTCGCCAGGGCGGCAATTCAGCCTCAACGCCAGTTATTAACAGATCTAAACGAATTTCCAGCATCGGAAAGCACACATTGGCAATTTGCGATAGCTGAAAAGCAATAATGTGACAATAGTTTCGCTTCGCAATAAAACTGCCACCGAATGTCGAGTAACAGCACAGAAGGCTACCTTTCGTACGCAGGATGCCGAAACCTGATTTGAAGTGCGCACGTCACACCGCTGGCCTTTGCTCGCGAACCAAATATTGTCAACGCAATGTTGGGCATCGGACAAAGAATTCATGGGAGCGATGATGGCAGACCAAACTATCAGCAAAATCCAGCGGAAAGACAACTGGACCACCACGAACAATTGTTTCATCCAGCTACAATTCCAGGTTTGGCACTCATCAGATTCCTCAATACTACAGCCGACCTCGTGGACTAAATGGTTTTATGCTGAATGATTGCAACCAAAACCAAGAACAAAGGAGAAGAGCAGAAACTGATAGCTTTTCACTATTTAGATTCCATTTGACGACGAGACACAATGCCGAAATACCAGCAAACACAGCACCTTGTTCCTGTGGTTAATGTCTGCCCCAGCAGCCAAAAACTTCTCCAGGACAGCAAGTTAGAACCGGTAGGGGGCAATCAGTAGCACCGCGTCTCATTTCTGTGCACATAGGACAGAAACGCGGGATTGGTGTGCCATTGCAACTACCAGCGACAACTCGAGGATAAAGCAGACCACAAACTTGCCAACAGATTGTTGTCAACCCGGTGCCGTAATGAGCAAGAATAGACAGAGCCATGAAGCAGACAGCGCATCCACTCGACTTCATGCACAACAAGAACGGCACCATCAGCTTAGTTGACAGAAGTGCACGCACTGAATGTCACCACGGGCTTATGGATAGCAGTGGCATGTCACTCTTGTTTCTTGGAACGGTGTAACCTTCCAGGGGAAAGTGTGCCACATGTCCACTAATTGCCAATGTAAATAGTTGCAACAGTTGCAAACGATTCTTCCACAAAGAAAGATTGGTTTGTTTCAAGTTGCGCTTTCATTTATTTTTTTCGTTATCTGCCAGTTGTTCTCAATGTACTTCTACAAGGACTGTTGCCCAAGTCCTGCTGCTCGACAGCCGATGCCGGAATTTTGACTACCAACCGTGATCATGTTATCTGAGTTGGTGTGATGCCATTGGCAGCCCTAGCGCTCACATGCAACCTGACATTAGATGAGGTCGTGCATTAGCTCAGCCACTTGTCTGTTGATTAGCGTCACTCTGCCTCATGCATGCCGACTGCATTCTATGGCAGCGATTCCAGCAATACCTATTGACCACTGCCGGAACATATGTGGTGGCTTTGGCATAAAGGGGTGGGTTTGACCCCATTTGGACTGTGTCGAACCTCACATATAGCCAGGTTTACTCCCCAATGAGCGCAGACAAGACTGAATCTCAATTTGGTCCAGCTCCAATGTTTTCCTCAGGCCCCAAACTACATGCCATTT